TGTATGTAACTATACCAAGTTCTCTATCAAAAATATTTTCTGAGATATGATATGCGGTATGAAAAATTCCGTTTCTATGGGAGGTACCACGTCCCCTTGTCTAATCGATATTAAATTTATCCTATATTTTAAGTTGGGCTAAATGACACCAGTGTACAAAATTTCATGATGATCGGTTGAGTAGTTGAAGCGTGAAAGCGTAGCAAACAAACAAACTCACTTTCGGATTTATAATATTAGTAAGGATTAGTAAGGATTGAAGCAAAGCATATTTTAATGTCACGCCCGTCACAAAATACACAAAATAGTTATTTTTTGAAGGAAAACACATCTTGGACAGTGTAAAAAAGCTGACGAAAGTAACGCTATGACACAGGAAAATATGTGCGAATTGCTTTTAAGTATTTATATGCTTTTATTTTCGAAAAAAGAACCGATTATGTTGGTCACGCCTGTCACAGGTCACACCCGTCACAATTTAAAGTTTGACAAACTTCAATAAATTCGGCCAGGGACTGCTACCGTTACTTATCTGCTAATCTGAAATGTGTCATATATCTGTTTGTGATCAGCGATGATAAAGCTAATCATAAAGATATGTTGCTCGAGCGATAGGAAAACTTAAGCTATGCTGTCACGGATAAAAAGAAATCATTACTTCGCTTGTCAGGGCGAAAAAAGTATCTGAAACGGTTTTTACAGGTAACGGCCTCGGTTTGACAGGTAATAGCCTCATACTATTTAAAAATAAGGTACTTTACAATTACTATTATTATTACATTACTATTATTATTATTAGTATTACAAGGCATACAATGGAGAAGAAGAGTCCGATCAAGGATTATCCCGTCTTTAGGTGGCAAATCCGATTTTTTGAGAAATAAAGTTAGCTTAGTTGTCTAATAATGTTAATGTGTCTATTATAATTTCCATTCATACTGCCATCAGGTATGTAACTTGAGAATAGAAATCGCTGCATCTTTTAGGCGCATCAATATTACCTAGTTACATCCAGAGCTAATATAAGGGAGGTAAAAATAAAGTAGCTTTAAAAAAGGTTTATAAATTGAAAAATGTATGAAAATGTCATTTTATAAAGCTCTTTAAACCTACTTTATTTTTTATGAATAAGGCCATAAGACTTTCACCAAAATATTTCGGAAAAATATTAAGATTTACGTGAGCTGGACCGATTTGAAAATACCTCCAAAAATTGGGTTTTTAGTGAACAAAAACAGTTTTTTAATTATTTTTTGCAAAAACATTTTAGGTTTAAAAAATTTGCATAAAAATATTTGAAAAAAGTTTTCAACGGAATCACAATCATGAGATTTTTGATACTGTTTTTAAACTTGTTTTTGAATAGGTTTATGCAGATTTTTAAAGCTTAAACTGTTTTGCACATCTGAGGGGGTTTTTTCCAAAAACTCCTTTAAGAAACTATTTTTATTCATAGAAAACTCCATTTTTGGAGGTATTTTCCAATCGGTCCAGCACACGTAAATCTTAATATTTTTCCGAAATATTTTGGTGCAGTCTAATGTACATGCAAAATAAAAGAATGACGATATTTTGACCGGTTTTGGTATTTGGTATTCGTCTTTTGTTTATTCAATGCTTATTAGCTGGTATACAACAAACACTATATAAATTCAGATTTCAAACTTTGTACAAAAACGTTTATTTAAAAAATTTTTTAGCAAAAACAAAACCGACTTCCATTATCGGATTTAAACCAATTTAATATGGGACCGCCCGTGAGGTAACACCTTTCATTTAGAAAAAGGTTAACGTGGTCCAAAGGCAGGGTCCTTAATATAAAATAAAATTGTCGAACATACTTTTGTATAGAAAAAACGTGAAACAAACAAATTAATTTTTGTTATCTGTCTGCAAATGTTTTTTGGTGTTGGCTGTTGTCTGTCGCTTCACCTGAACATATCAAAAGAAATTCCAAATAATCGGCAAAGAATCGGCGAAAAAATGCCGATGCCGATTAATCGGTCGGACTCTATTAATTGCAAGTAAAACAACAGAATGTTAAAGAACATGAAATAAAACAAATATGTAATTGACTTTAAGCAATTTAGGCGTTAGATTGGACCTACTATTTAGGATTCCCCACATTAAAATTTTTCTCTTATATGGAAGGGCGTGGCTCCACTTTTTTACCATATAAACCTTGTCATGGCAATTATGAAACAGAAAAACCAAATCGGTTAACCCTTATCTACCTCCTTTATCAACAAAGAGGTGGTACAATTGCACCGCTATGTATTTTGTATGGGATTATACTGGAAAGCTATAAAATACCAGGAGTTTTGATGCTAGGATCGTGCAGTGTAAAAGTATAAGCAGAATAAAATCGCTAAGGAAGCTTCGTCGGAAGAATATTTCCGGTAAAAAATAAAACTCACTGCAGTATAGTATAACAGATTTATTTTTAATTTTACTGCTGCCGCCGGTCGATAAAATCAACAATCAGTGATATAATAGTTTTGTTTCAAAAATACGAAGAATGAGAAAATTTAGGGATTCATCTTTTCGCTTTGTATTGTTATATTTTTGATTCGTCAATCAGTTGGTGTGAAATTCGTTTATTTCGAAATATTTCAGCGAATATCACCAGACGGCTTCGCTCCATCCGACAAAATTCGCTAAGCGAATTAGTTGTGTTTATAACAGTTTTTTTACGGGCCCACTACTCTCAAGTTTCCCTACATAAAAGTACCCGTGCCTAGTAAAAAATTAGGTCAAATAAAAATTGACTTCGCCGTTCTTTCAGCGACATGTCCAACGGTCATTTGTTGCATTGCCTCTCTATTCTGCCAATTTGCGTGGTAGTTTCTGGTGCTAGGGAGAACTCCATTCAATTCTTCGCAAAAGTTTCTAATCCATTCGCGTATATGTACGCTTTGCTTTTCACAATGTGCGCTCCAATTGCAAAATTCACGTTTGTAATCAACGCTTTGATCATTAGCTTTGGTCGTCGCTGCGATAGATATATTTTAGTCTTACAAGGATGCCATGCGATGGAAATAACTGAAATTCGAAACAAATTCCATACAAAATGTATGAAAACATTTGGTGACACAAATGTACTACTACTTTGTCTTTAGAGACTACGGGTACTCAGGTCCTAAAAGAGTCCTCTTTATTATTAAAAAGGTCTTATTAAACGGTTGGGTGTTCAAAAATGGTTGCACGAGGCTATCATGAAACTTCATGATCGTAAGTACTTTGGCTGTCGAGATATTTACATTTTTGTTGCTCGGTGGTACATTCGTACCACCTCTTTGTACATGCGGGTTAAGCCGTTCCCGGGTGATGCGGCAACATACATGTGGCATTTCGCATACATATGTGTGAGCATTTATTTTGATGATGACAAAACTTATTACCCGTAGCTGATGAGGTTGAACGGGTAACATACGTGTTCAGATACTGGTAAATGATCACTGAAGTCAATCGGCATGACTTATGTAACTTTCAAAATAAACGGTTCTTATATGGATTTTAAACATTTTGTGTGTAATCTGTGTAATTGTGAATCCAAAGTTTTTATAATTCAACAAACTGATTTGAATTTTGTTCTACACCGCATATATGGTATGTAAAGTAGAAGGCAAGGTTTAGTTTACTAAAAACTCGGTAACTGGATACCACTCTTAATATTAGAGCTACCGATGTTGCCAAACATCGATTAAACATCGATATTTTTTTTTTAATTTTAGAATTAGGCTTTAAGCCTTCCTCTTTGTAAATTTTCGCTTGGGAATAAATTCTATAAAATAAAAAATGTTTATAACAATATAGAGCTTAGTTTTGTCTATATTTAACTTCAATAGCCGTGTTTTTTTTACAGGCATATACATCTACGCTTAACGCGTAAAAAAACAATCATCGACAATTTCTATTTCAAAACAAGTAATTTTGAATTTATCGACAACTATTCATAAGCACACATAAAGTTTGTCGCTTACAGCTCAATACAATTTTTAAGCGCAGATACCTATGCGTGTAAAAAAACACGCCTAATATAATAAATTATAATGGGTTTGTCGCTTCAAGGGCTTGAAATCAAAAATTACTTTTGTATAAATGATGTACGTTTTTAAAGTATATCAAATATTATTAAGATTTTTGCTGGCTTATGATTTAATCTGAATATATCAAATTATTTATAACGCTTTTCTCCCTTCAATGCCTCGATATTAACGATTAATAAAATTTTATCGGAAATGTTTAAGAAAATGAAATTGCTTCATTTTACCTTTTTACACGCCAAATAAATGTATGGTTGCAATTTGCAAGAACATCGATGTTGACAAAAAAACATCGATGTCAGCAGCTCATATAAAAACATCGGTGCATCGATGTTTCCATCGATGTTTCTCCTGCTCTACTTAAAATGCTTAAATTTTAGAGAGTACACGTAGAAATTACTGCAAGCGAAATTTTTTCCGAATGGTATCTAATTATCTATATAGGAATTACATAAAATTGTATAAATTGTTCTGCAGGATGAGCAAAATAAATAAAAGCTTGTAAAATTACGGTGCAGGTAAACCTAATACTTTCTTTGATAATAGTTGCACAATTGCAGGCAGGTATAGCTAATGTGCAGATATGTTAAATGCATCTATCGGAGCAGTTTCCTTATAAATGCTAAAAATAATGCCGCTGATGCGCATTTTGGGGTAGGTATCTTAAATGTGCACTTAAGCATAAAGACAGGAAAGCAAAATATACTGTATACTATATTTAGCTTATTAATTTTCATTCTTTGTCTTACCTCTATCGTTTGTAATTTAAAACTTAATAGGGGGTATTCACAGGCGAAATATAGTCAGCTGTTAAGGTAATTGCAGCTTTTTTGACAGATATTCCATTATGCCAACAAGCTGCAACTAACTTTAGAGTCGACTTTGTTTTGACTATATACCCCAATATTTCCAACTACTTACTAACCTAAACATACCATCATATCACCATTTCAGATGCCTGGTTCAAGCCGGAACGCTTACATCCACGAGGTAAGTAGTCAGAACGCTCGGTAACCAGACATTAGTCCTAAGTTATGTATTTGTATATGAGTTTGAATTTGCGTGTTTTTAAACCGTAGACCCAAGGATTATGAAACAGGTCTTAGAGCAAAATCAACATTTATGTTCAAAAAATAAAATTGTTACGACTTCCATTCTTGGTAAATGTGTTTGCCTCCAGAGTATCGATCTATCCTTTGCGAGGCCCAATAACCAGCGTTTGTGCTTCTGAGTTAAGCGAACGCTAACGTGGGTTAAGCTGGTTTTCAAGCGCTTCTTTTTACGAAAAATGGTTTTACATAATATATTGGAAAATTTAATTTTTGTAAAAAACAAACCATATTTGACAATATAAAGATCAAATAATTAAAAAAACAAATCAACTGCTTAGCGCTACTGCCTGTTCAATATGCCTTGGGTTGACCGCAAAAAAGGGCAAATCCAATCTAACAAAAAAAATAGAGTCCAAGAGTAACGGTTAAGTTTTATCGAGAAGCAATAAAATTAAAAATATTGATTAAATAGCCGTGTTTTTTAGCGCAGATATATATATATCTTATAAAAAATTGGTATATTTTTTCGATATAGAACTATCCTAAGGGACCACCCTAATATACATATATATACATATATATACATATATATATATATTAGTGTGATCAAAAATAAGCAAAGTCGGAATTTTAACGCTGTCATCCCTTAGGATAGTTCTATATCGAAAAAACATACCCCTTTTTTACAAGATATATATATATCTGCGCTAAAAAACACGGCTATTTAATCAATATTTTTAATATTTTATTGCTTCTCGATAAAACTTAACCGTTACTCTTGGACTCTATTTTTTTGTTAGATTTATTTTAAAATCAAAAATGATTTAGAGGTCGCTCAAAGCGCTCAAAGTTTTCAATATATTTTATATGGGAAAAAACCACTTTTCGCAGAAATAGTATAGAATTCTTGACAATCAATATTTTTCGATCGGAAAAGTCTGGTTCTCTTCAAGATACTTCTAACAACAATACCCAATTGTTTATTTGACAATTTTTTAATACTAAAGATGTTTTATTTATCCCCCCATTGCATTTTCTGGGGATTTTCGCGGACTTATAAAATATAGTTACTATGAAAAACGGTTAAATAAATAAATGGGTATTATTATTGGGAATCTACTGAAGAGAAACAGCGTTTTACGATCGAAAAATATTGATTTTAAAGAATTGTATACCATTTCTTCGAAAAGTTCCTTTTTCCCATATAAAATACATGGAAAACTTTGAGCGCTTTGAGCGACCTCTAAATATTTTCTGATTTCAAAATAAAAAATGGACCACCCTTATGTACATACCTAAAGGCCAAATCACACAATTGGTGCATTTGTAAAGATTTGTACATTTTGACGTGGTGACATTTGGAAATTTTTTTGTTGTGCTGAACTCATTCCCGACGAAAATTCCTGTACAATACCTCTCTGTGGCTGTCAAAATGTACACATCTATACAAATGCACCATGATTTGGCCTTAAGTAAACGCTAAACTGCAAAAGAAACACTTCAGCAACTGCATATCGAATAAGCTGACATTTTTCGTGAGGTACTTAAGAAGGTTTTACTGTATGTATATTAGGGCGGGTCAACTTGTATGGATCGATTTTTTTCGACATTGTCCCTAGCATATTCGGATTCTTCATAAAAATCTAAGAAAAAAATTCCTCCAGACCGTAGCTCTAAAGTCAATTTCGAACCTGCGCATTTTTAAAAGAAGATATCTTATATATAAAATTGGATTGCTGTCCGTTAGCCTCGCTAAGACTTGAAAACAGCTTGACCGATTTGAATATTTTTATTTTTTTGGTTTGTTTTTTATAATATCCGGATTGTTAAAACCAGAAAAAATAGAGAGTTGCCACCTGTTTAAAAATCCCAATATAAGTAAATTAATTACATAAATTAGATATTGCAATATGGGTGTCAAAAGAAAGAGGTTATGAAGGCTTACAGGCAAAAATATTTTTGAGGGGGGTTGCCACCTGTTTCAAAATTTAGTTAAATAAAATTGATAAGATAAATTAAATATTGCAATATGGGTATCAAATTAAAAGGGTTTAAGAAGGCTTACTACTGAAAATATTTTTGAGTCGAGTTGCCACCAATTTCGAAAATTTAATTCAATTAAGTTAATAAGATAAAGTATGTATTATAATATAGGTGTCGAGCGAAAAGTATTTGAAAAATTATTGATTAAGAAATATTCTCTATAGGCCTGCCACCTACCTGAGCGGTAAAAACTAAAAGCCATACTCGCAAATATTGTTCAAAACTTTTGAGGCTCGCATCAATGTGGAATACTGTAACTCCGTCAAGATAGTGTTTATTGATGGCAAACAAAGTACTATCATGTTTGGCAATGATATCACCCCATCGAACAATGCACTCAGCCTCGATATAAAAAGAGAACAAAAGCCGAAGTATTAGCCGAAGCAGTTCATACAAATGTTCCACAATTGAACTAACAAAAAAATATGGCCTACGACTCTTTTATAGAAGCTGTGGACACTGGAGTAAAATTTAAACAAAAAAACAAAACCGACTTCAATTCTCATATACAAATTTAAAAGTACCGTTATTTTCTTCATGGCCCAATTATCGGATCTACACTCAATTAGTAGGAGACTACCTCTGAGGAACCACCTTTCCTTTCAAAAAGAATTATAGAAAACGGATAACGTAGTCCAAAGTTACGCGGTAACATACATAAAAACATATTCCGACGAATTGATAAAATATGCAGATTAATATTTAATAAAGTGTTACGGATATATTTTTTTTAATACAAACCTGTGCTTGGGAGCTTTTTGATATGAAAAATTAATTTCTGATATCTATTTTTTATTTAAAGAACCGCAAGATTGCACTACAAAGCAAATTACATATTTTTTACTATTGTAACGGGAGAAGTTACTGTATGTATTTTTTTATATGTACAGTGTCGAACAAAAGTTTTGGCACAGTAAATTTTCGCATTACATATATGCAAAATTTTTAATTTATTTCCGATAATTTTTTATAAAAACATAGTTCATACTACACTAAAACACATAAAAATCAAATGTGTAAACTTTGTGAAAAACTCAGGAAAATTCAATAAATCTGCATACTAATTTGCAATTTTATATTCAGATTTTCAAGCAACTTCAAACCTGCACTTTGATAAACTAAAATTGAATGGATTATTAAACTGCATACTTGGAATTTTTCTAAAAAATACTTTGCCTATATTGCGTAAAATTTACTGTGCCAATACTTTTGTTCGTTACTGTAAGTTTAAGGGTTTATTTACCCTTAACTTTAAAAAACCAAAAAAAAATTTACAATATTTTAAAATTATTTTTCGAATCATAAATTTTTTTATGATTAACAATGTATTTATTTTTTTTTTTGGTTTTAGATCCTTTTTGCTTTCAACACGAGGTATCTTTTTTCTAGTTTCTATTGTCATAGCCATAACTCACTCTCTATTTTTATCAATCAATCAATCAATGAATCAATTTTATAATTTTTTTCGGCATTTTTCCTAATTACAAGTAGAGCTTTATAAAACTTTTATAACACCAAATGTTTATCAAGCTTGGGATTTTATGTTATCCGGGCAGGCTTATTAATTTAGCCAGAGAATATGTTTTCTTTATAAAGTTTACCCAGTTACCCATTTTAAACTGCTACCTGTACTGTATCAGCGGTTAAAACTTGTTAAATTTTTATTTAAAATTTTCGGTAAGGAATAAGCGAGTGGATGAAAAATATATAAACCGTAAGAACGGCCCATATATATGTATATGAAAGAATACACTCATGCGACGACTCTAGCCATTGTGTGTCATTCCTTTAAATTATAGTTATTTTTTTCTTATTGTATTAAAAAAATAACGTTCGTAACACTTTAGTAAATATTAATCCGTATATTAACTGAGTATATATTAAAGACTAGAAGATGACCCGGTGAACTTCATATCATCTATAATTTATTTGAATTTAACTTTGATCAATTATAACAAATCTTCAAAATCCAATACAATGAGATCACTAATACTGCCTGCTGTTATAGCTGATAAAAGATTCCACACCTATAAGATGTGCCACGCCCCTTTTTACAAACTCATTTATATACATATATCTTTCCATAAGCACCTAACATAGGTATCTGTGCATTTCAAATTTCGAGTTCATGTGACTATAATTCCGAAGTTAGAGCTGATTAAAAATTTTCACTATGGGAGGTATCCCTCATCCCCTCCCCCCCTTGGCGAGTTTCAATTTTTTTACCCTATTATAGGTCCAGGAGTCATGGCAATACTTTGGCAAAATTTTATTCGATTCTATACATCCGTTCAGGCTGCAACCTGGTACATACGTACATACATACTTCCACAAATATATAGTAGATTTGCTTTGAAGCGCCATCTTGCGGTTCTTTAAATAAAAAATAGATATCAGAAATGAATTTTTCTATCACAAAACTCCCGAGCACAATTCTTTATTACAAAAAAAAACATTCCTAACACTTTAGTAAATATTAATCTGATTATGGACTTGGTATTAATTAAAAATAATTTCTTTTAAAATTGCGCAGGCTCGAAATTGATTTTAGAGCTATGGTAAAGGGCTTTTTTTCTTAGAATTTTATGTAGAATCCGAATCTGCTAGGAACGATGTCGAAAAAAAAATTGACCCGCCCTAATGTATATACTTATATTGATAGTTTTTAAATATGTATGTATGTTGTGTAATGCCGATTGGCGTAAATTTTATTAATTCAATACATATCAAAAGAAATAAAAACAAAAATTATACAAAATATCCCGGTGCTTTAGAAATCGATCTTGCAAATGCGTAATGAAAATATTTAGGTACGGTATGTAAATCGCGATTCGGTAATACCCTTCAAAATGCTTCTGAGTGATTCGAATCTGTTGTGTTTCGTTACATTGTAAC